AGCAGCTTGTGAGGATGTCTCAAGCGATTCTTTGGTTTCAGCACTCTCTGAGGGGGGTGGGGGCGGCAAGGGGGGGGTGCACGGGCCCGTTCGGGCTCAGATTGTGGAGATGTCCCTGGCGGCTTGCCGATTTGCATGCGCGACCTCTTCTGCTCTCGGAGCAGTTCGTGAGGATGTCTCAGGCGAGGCGCTGGTTTCAGCACTCCTGGGGGGAGGGGGGGGCGGAAAGGAATGTCACAGTTGCCTGTTTGCTTCCAGATTGCGAGCAGGAGGAGGAGGAGGAGGAGGAGGAGGAGGAGGAGGAGGAGGAGGAGGAAAAGGAGGAGGAGGAGGACCAGTGTAAACCCAAGAGTCATCAACGATGTTGGAATTAACCCTCCCTCCAAGCTCCCTCTTCATAGGCCCCTACAATGGTCAATTTCCATTGAGGGAACTGCCTCGTTGGAAGACAACCGTTTGAAGATCCTGAATCATGCCCAAACAATCGCTCTCGGGATTTCAGCGCCACGTATCAGACTGACTGCTGCGTTTGGGCGATCTGGAATCGCGCCGTCACGCCATTTTTTGATTTCAACACCGCGAATCAACCTAACTATTGCCCCAACATATCCTGAATCCTTCCGGGGCGCCATTTCGGGTACGTTGGTCCTGGGAAACCCGCGACATTCCGCATTTTTTCAAACAAATGTGCGCGGCGCTCAAGCGAGAGTCACATTTTGTAAACCACACGCCCTCAATCCGTGAAGCTCTTGCTTTCAAATGTTTGAAATGAATGTGCGCGGCGCTAAGGCGAGCGCCACATTTTGAAAAAGAGCCGTGCTCAATCCGTGAAGCTCTTGCTTGCAATTTTGTTAAACGAATGTGCGCGGCGCTACGGCGAGAGCCACATTTTGAAAACCACCCGCCCTCAATCCGTGAACCTTTTGCAACTGTTTCAAACGAATGTACGCGGCGCTGGGGGGAGAACCACATTTTGAAAACCACCCGCCCTCAATCCGTGAAACTCTTGAATTTCTTGTTTTGGAAAACAAAAACTAATGTGCGCGGCGTTAAGGCGAGAGCCACATTTTGAACCCCCCCCGCCCTCAATCCGTGAAGCTCTTGCAATTGTTTGTTTAAACGACTGTGCGCGGCGCTAAGGCAAGAGCCACATTTTGAAAACCACCGGCCCTCCACCTGTAGAGCTGTTGTCAATTGTAAGCTTCAGAGTCATAAATGGTGAGGAAGTCTAAGGCGGAACGCCCCGCCCGCCCTAAACACTGGCCTCGGGGTGCGACAGGGAGGAGTTATCTATAATGAGAAGGAATGGAGGAGGAGGAGGAGGAGCAGGCGAGGGAGGATGAGAATGAGGAGGCGGAGGAGGAGAAGGAGAAGCAGGAGGAGGAGGAGGTGGAGGAGAAGGAGGAGGAGGAGAAGGAGGTGGAGAAGGGCAGGAAGAGGAGGGAGAGGAGGGAGGAGGGGAGGTGGACTGTGTGGAGGTGTCTCGAACAAGAGGCTCGCTCTCACGCACATGCACTCACTAACGGAATATATAGACAGATGTGCAGGGAAAGTGAGATGCACATATGAGGATCCACGCGTCGAGTAATTCTCCTATGGTTCTTCATTCTTTCTGGGGTGATTCTGATCTCGAGCTTCCGGCGCTTCAAGACGGCCCAGCATGCCTCGTAGACCGTCCCAAAATTGCACAAGAGGGCACTGCGAGGGCCTCAGGGCGGGCCAAGAGGGTTCCAACACGGCCCAAAGAGGGGCCCAAGACGGCCAACGATTGCCCCAAGAGGGGCCCACGAGAGGCGAAGAGGAAGACCACCAACCGACAATCCTACCTTTTCGCCCCAAGAGCCCCCCAAAGGCCCGAAGAAGCTCCCAAGCGGCCAAAAAGTGGCCCCCAATACGCTCCAAAAGGCCCCCGATAGGCCCGAAAGAGGCCCCAGAGCGGCCGCCAACACGCTTCAAAACTGCCTCCAAGAGGCGCTGCCAGGCCCTTACACAGCTCGCAAGACGCCCACAATAATACCCACACAATGCGCAAGAAACCCACGACGCCTCAACCGTGGACTCCACGCCTCGTCTGGGGGTCGCCAGAATGGCGTAAACCTCTTGAACAATAAAGCTCCTCCTTCTTTTCGCTCGTTGTTTCCTCATGCCTCTTCTAGCCTCCTTGATTCTCACGGCTTCGTCGGCAACCGGCCTCTGCACGGACAGGCCCTCAGCCACCCGATCTGGCCAGGCCATAATCCCCTACTACAGGGATCCACGTTCGCCATCATGAATAGATTAAGCCATCTCCCGAAGCAGCTCATGCTTTGCCTCCATGTAATCTGCATTTCAAGGAAAGCTGCAAAGCTGGCCCAGAGCAGCTGCAACCTATCACTCTCAAGCGTGGCAGATTACGCATGCCGCGCCGTGCCGCGCTCGCTGACTGCACCGAGGGCTTGTTCGTACCAAAAAGAGGAAGGCTCCCTTCGGAACGACCGAGGACCGAATACGTTCCAGGTGGGAAGAGCAAACGCCCATCACATGAAGAAGAAATCCGTTGGCACCATGAGTGGGCAAAGCGAATGCACGCATAAGGTGGTGAAACCCAGAACGTCGTCGGAAGAGAGGGTGGAGAACTGATTATCATACGAGGGGGCGTTATTTTCGTTCCTCTTCCAGCACCTGCGTCCGCCCCTGGACGCCGCGGCGCCCCGAGTTGTTTTGCGACGGTCTAGGAGCTGGGGAGCAGCGCCGCGGAAGCCGGAGAACACAGGAGTGGCACCCGCGGGACCCCTTGCCATCAGGACCCTGCTTCATCCTAGCGACTCCTCCCTGAAACCCTCCGCCCGCCCCGTCGCGCGACGGCGCCGGCATGGGCGCGGGCGGCAGGGGCTGCATGCCGAGCAGCTGCGTCAGTTGCGGCTGCGGGTGGGGGGGGGGCGGCTGCGCCGGCACAGCTGCGATCCAGGCGAGACAACGACGCCCGGGACTTCGGCGGGATTGATCTTTCAACCCCGGCAATGTTCCTCCATGTCTGCCCCTGGGGGCCTCTCTCGGGCCCAGGGACCATCAAGAAATCTTCCGGGACGAAGGAAATCATCTTGGCGAGGGGCCCAACCATGTGCAGACCCGGGTATCGCAAAGCTGGTGAGGCGAAGGAGGCCGGGCTCCCTATGAGACCTGGAAGCTTGTTAGGGCCGTGCCGAAATGGGCGAGGGTACGAATGCGAACGCTGCCACTTGGGACTTTGGTGGAGCTCCCTATGAGAGAACGGAGCGAGTGAGGAGTGTGCCGTAGTAGGGGTGGGCGCGCATGCGAACCATGCCAATGGAGCCTTCCGATGAGCCTTCTCATTGAGGCCATGATGCGAGTGAGGGGTGCGCCGACATGGGCGCGGGCACGAATGCGGACCCTGCCAACGGCGTCTTCGGTGGAGCTCCCTATGGCCACGAAGCGTGTGAGGGGTGTGCCGAAATGGACGAGGGCATGCATGCGAACCCTGCCACTTGGAACTTCTGTGAAGCTCCCTATGGGGGCACAAAACGTGTGAAGGGTTGCCGAAGTAGGCGTGGGCCCGAGGAGCCTTCTAAATGGGGCCACGATGCGAGTGATGGGTGTGCCGAAATGGGCGTGGGTGCACATGCGGACCCTGCCACCGGGGCCATCAATGGAGCCCCCTATGGGGCCACGAAACGTGTGAGAGGTGTGCCGAAATGGGCGTGGGCACGCATGCGAACCCTGTCACTGGAGCCTTCGGCGGAGCTGGACTTCACCATGGGAGCACGAATCGAAAGAGGGTGTAAGGGGGTGTGCTGGAATGGCGTGAGAGCCCTGTCACTGGGCCCTTCAGTGAAGCTCCCCATGGGATCACGATGCGTGTGTGTGTGTGTGTGTGTGTGTGTGTGTGTGTGTGTGTGTGTGTGAGGTGTGCCAAATGGGCGAGGACCCTTCAGGCGAGCTTTGTCACTGGGGCCTTCAGGCGTGCTTCCGATGGGGCCACGACATGTATGAGAGATGTGCCGAAATGAGCAAGGACCCCTCGTCCGAATTTTCGACTGGAGCCTCCGTTGGAGCTTCCTATGGTGCCACGAACACTGGTGGAGGGTGTATCGAAATGGACGTGGGCTCCTCATGCGACCTTTGCCACTGGGGCCTTCGGTGGAGCGCCCTGAGGGGCCACCAGAATGGGCGAGGACCCCTTCGGTGGAGCTCCCTATGAAGCCACGGTCCTTGTGATGGGTTCGCCTACATAGGCGAGGACCTCTCAGGCGAACATTACAACCAGGGCCTTCGGTGAAGCTCCCAGTGGGGCCATGATGCGTGCGAGGGGTGTGCCAAATGGGCGAGGACCCCTCAGGCGAACTTTGTCACTGTTGCCTTGGGTGGAGCTCCCTATGGGGCCACGAAGTGTGTGAAGCGTGTGCCTAAACGGACGCGGACCCCTCTGGCGACCTTTACAACCGGAGCCCGAGGTGGAGCTCCCAGTGGGGACACGAGACATGAGACGAGGGTGCCGAACTGGACGAGGACCCTTCAGGCGAATTTTGTCACTGGGGCCTTCGGTGAAGCTCCTGATGGGGCCACGATGCGTGTGAGGGGTGTGCCGACATGGACGCAGACCCCTCGTGCGAACCCTGCCCTGAAGCCTTCGGTGGAGCTGCTTATGGAGCCACAGTGCGTGTGAGGGCCGACATGGACGCAGACCCCTCAGACGAGCTTGGCTACTGGGGCCTTCGGTGGAACTCCCGATGGGACCACGAAGCGTGTGATAGGGTGTGCCGACATGGACGCAGACCCCTCAGACGAACTTGGGTACTGGGGCCTTCGATGGAACTCCCGATGGGGCCACGAAACGTGTGATGGGGTGTGCCGCCATGGACGCAGACCCCGACACGGATGCGAACCCATCAGGTGAACTTTGCTACTGAGGCCTTCGGTGGAGATCGCTGTGGGGCCACGACACCTGTGATGGGGTGTGCCCAAGCAAATGCGCGTGGAGGGCAAAGGCAGGGATGGGGGCAGGACGAAAGGAGGTGGGAGACGCGGGGCTCTGCTGATTCAAAACGAAGACGATGGCTGAACAAAAACTGCTTCCGGAAAGAGTTTGAGACTTCAGGGGCCCGCGGAGTGAACAATCCATATGGTCTGATGTCTGGGACGTCCAGGGTGGTCTTGAGCGTTTCTACACATTCTCGTCGCCACGGCCTGGCGGAGCTCAAGCAACTGGCACGGGGCCCCGAGTCCTGGGACTGTCTTTGAGCGGATCGAGGTCGGGGGGCAGAAAGCAGAGGGGGCTCGACGAGGAGGATCGAATTCGGCGCTCCGGAACGTTTCTTCGTGACTTCGGCCTGGGGGCCCTTGCCTGATTCTTTAGGCCCCCAGGCCGTCGGACATCGTTCAGGACGAGACCAAGAAGAGGGAAGGAGGATCAACGATCGAGGAGCGGAACTTTGCATGAGTGTTTGGTTCTTTCTGGGCCTCCAGGGCGCTCCTCGTCGCCACAGCTGCCCTCCCCTTTGGATGAATCTAGCCAGGTCCAGGGATCGACTCTGAAGCCGAACACTTCCGCTTGAGGTGCGAGGAGGTCGGATGTACCGAGACAAGGGGGGGATGGAGGGAGAGGAAGAGGACGACAGTCCCTGCGGAGTTCGCCTCAAGTCAGGGCAGCACTGGCCATGTCCAGGGCCGATCTGCCATATGACAACGATGACAACGATAACGATAACAACGATAACAACGATAACGATAACAACGATAACAACGATAACAACGATGACAACGATAACAACGATAACAACGATAACGATAACAACGATAACAACGATAACAACGATGTGATATGCAGGGTCGACTCCCCCCCCCTCTGCACGGCCTTCTGAGCTTCACGACTGCAGGCCTCCCACACACACGAGCCAGCTGCACCGCGGGCGAGGGGCAAGGGAAGAGGCACGAGAAGGGGCACAACTGCTGAAAAAGGCCGACCTTCGAGCCCCCCGCGTCCCGAGGATTTGCCGCACGTTGACGTGGTCTTGTCGTCCAAACCCGTTTCGGAACCCCTGGGGCCATCAGACGACCCGCGGCGAGAAACAGGCCCCAAGGATGGCCAGCGCGACGCCGACGCCTGGGGAGCGAGGGACGAGGAATCGTAGGGAGGCGAAGGGCAGAGGACCTGCCCCTGTTGTGGGGCATCAGCGGGGCCCCGGAGGATCGGCGGGGCAGCTGGATGGCCAGGGCGGCCACTCGCGGCAAGGGACCCGAATGGTTTTGCTGGGCGTGCGCTGCTCACTCCACCTCAGTCCTCCGCCGCACGGCAGCAGACCAGGCCCAAGCCCGCCCCGCTGAAGAAGTGCTACGTGCTACGTAGAACCATTAGCCTTACACGGCGCGCTGCCCTGCTAACCAGCGCCGAGCCGCCGTCCGCCAGCGCTCAACTACCTGTCAGCCTGGCCCAGCTGCGCCGCGCCGTCCGACAGCGCCGAGCTGAGGGGCCACGATGAGTGGGCTGTGACTGGCACAGGGGGGGGAAGCATCGGCCTGGAATCGGCGATACATCGCCGATGGATCCGCGATAGGCTCCCGATGGCGAGTCCACACGCTCCTGGGCGGGGTGGGACTAACTATCAGACCCAGACCCCTATCGGCGTTCAATGGGTGCTCGGGGATCGATGCATCCCCCCCTGAGTCTAATCATCCTACGCCTCGAAAATATATACACAGACGCCCTTCGACGGATTTCCATGTGACTTCAGGCAAGGCGGCGGTGCAGAAAGCCGCCGGCCCGCAATGGTGATGTGCACTCCGCCACCCTCCCCTGAGGCCCAGGTTCACTCCATCGGAGGGTGTCGGTGCGTACATCTTTGTGGTGGACCTCCCCCCCCTCGCGTTGCCCCTGACTGCTGCGCCGCGCCGCCCGACAGAGCCTAGCTGCCCGCCAACCTTAGGGGGGAAACAAACCTGCCTCGCTTTTGACCACCCTCGCTTCCAAGAGATACCAAACGATGCCAAATTGCAGCCTGTACTGGTCAGGCCGCTTGACGAGGAAGCGCGTGGTATGGCTTGGTTTTTCCTGGAAGCGAAAGCGGGGGAGGCAATTCACGCTCTTAAGCCTGGCCCTCTGCGCCGCGCCCTCGGTGCAGCCCGCCACCGCGGGCGCGCCGGCGCCCTCGGGCTTCAGCGCGCCGCGCCGCCAGCGGGGCCGCCTCCGCCGGGCCCCGGCCGCCGCCCCGGAGGCGGAGGCGGCGGGCGCGCGACACCCCGCCCGGCGGAAGCTCCCGCCCAGGCTCCGCCGCCTGCTGTGCGGGCAGGAGTCGTGCCCACGTCCACTGCGAGGGGCCTTCCGCAGGAGCCGGCGGCGCAGCGGAGGTGGATAATTAGACGCTTGGCCCCTGGAGGCTAGACTGGGATCCAGATCCGCTGCGCCTCGGCCTTCTGGCGCCCCTTCCCAGGAAAGCCCGAGATGCAATGGATATGGGTATGAATCGTGCCCGCCTGCTGACTCGCAGGGGAGGTCCCGCGAGCGTCGGCCCAATGCACCCGCGCGTGTCCGCGTGCCTCGGGCCGCCTGCGCAATCGCCAGCCGCCGCGGGGGCCGGCGCCGCCGGCGCAGCGTCCTGCCCAGGCGCGGACCGTTTGGGCCCGGCAGCCTGCCGTGAGAGCAGCACGGCATCTCCTCGGCCTGGTGCGTAGGGCCCTGCCTCTGCGAAGTTGCAGTCCGAGCGCCCGCAACGTGCCGGACCCGCCGCCCTCTGGCGCTCCCGCCTCTGCAGCGCACCATGAGAGGCGCGGGAGACATACCTGCGCGCTGCAGCGAGGCACGCTGGCATCGAGACAGCAGGGTGGGACTCTGCACCTCCTGGGCCCTGCGGGTCCGCAAGCGCATGCGCCAACGCACCGCAGTACGGCTGCGTACAGCACAGCGCGGCAAGCCCTTCGGCGTCGCCAACAGCAGTGTGGGCCCCAGAGAGCGACCTGCCGAACGCCAGGGCGTAGAGAGCGCCGAGCTTGTGTGAGGGCGGGCGGTGGTCACCTGCACCAGCAAGGGATCGCGAGAGCCGCAACGTATCCACGACGCCCACGAGGTTGTCCAGGCCCTCGAAGAGGCCGCGGGCGTGATAGTAGCCGAGCCCCCCGTTTGCCTCAGCGCGCCGCTCCCGAACGTCCTGCGCCACGAGGAGGGGCAGGTCGAAGCGGAGAATGTTGTGGCCAACCAGCCAGACCTCGACCCCAGCATTTCCGGCCGCCGCGGCCACCGCGGAAGCCTCCTGCTGCGCCCACGCGCACCACTCCGCCATCGCACGCCGGAAGGAAAGCCCCTCGCGCTCGAGCTGTTTAGGGTGCAGCCCCGTGAGCCTGGCGATCTTCCTGGTCAACCGCCGCGACGGCCGAACAAGCGCGCGGAATGACGGGCCGGCTGGTTCGAGAGAGGTACTGCCCGGCCTCGCGACCTTGGCCACACAGCCCACCTCGATCACCTCCGCACAGTCGATGTCCAGCCCGGTGCTCTCCAAGTCGAGGAAGATGCAGAGGCGCCACGCCTGGAGGATGCCGCCACCGCACGCGAAGACCGGCGCGGAGGACATCCCACCAGCAACCCTGTATCCGGCACTTGAACCAGTGGCAACCGACCCACATGCGCACTTTGCCAGCTACGCGTTGACCACACAAGCTAGGTTGTGCTCTTAGTTGGCGCTGCTATACGACCCCACGAGCCACAACGTGACCATAGTGTTCCTTCCGCAGGAAGCGCGACGCAAGTCACTGGATGGGCTTGCAAGGAGACGAGAAGCATGCGTATACATAAACCTTTGGATGCTTCCGCTCTGGCGTCTTTTTGCAGACCAGTCAAGGCCTCTTGCGAACATGTGGAACCTTGAGAGCCTCCTTGAGAGCTCGTAGGGCACGGTGCCCCCCCCCTGGCCCCGTCCTCTGACACCCCGCCTCCGCCTCTGTATTTTCTCCCTGCTCCCTGCCTTCCCCCCCGCCCGTTCCTTCTGCCCCTCGTGCCCCAGCTCCTGCTCCTTCTCCGCCAGCTGCGTTCTGACGAGGGTTTCGACGCGAAGACTGCTGAGGCGGCGAGGGCACACTATAAGGCCCAAGCATGCCAAACACAGCTGCAAGATCTCTCTCCCTCCTCCTCCACTGCGTTTCTCCTCCATGTTCCCCTCCTCCTGCCTCAGTGGAGTGTTTACTTCGTTTGGGCTCGCTCGAATTTAAGGATTCGGGGCTCCCGCGCAGTTCGGGGTGGGGCATGGGGCACCCCTCGAACTCCAGGCGCAGATCTACAGCTCCTCTAAAAGCAAAGCCTGCATAGACATACTTTCTCACAGGTCCGCGCGGATTTCTTGGATCGGCGCTGGACCGCGTGTGGAGCGGAGCGCTCCAGGGGGGCCCAGGGCCGACTGCAAGATATCCGTGCGGAGCTCCGAAAGTTGCATCAAGTATGCTGGTGCAGTGGTTGGTTCCACAGAGCTCGGCACTCCAACTCCTCGCTCCTCTGCACATCTGCAGGTCCTCACCCTGTGCCTCCCCCAGGGCCGCTCCCGCCACCCTCGGCCCAGCCCAGCAGGGCGTGGGAGCACGCCTGCGGCTGTGGGGCCAGCGGCAGCTGCACCGGGGGCGGGAACTGCGGGAGGGAGAGGTGGGCTCAGACATGTACGCCACCACCACCTCCCTCACGCCCTCCCCCTCCCAGGAAAGAGGGGAGGAAGAGGAGGGTAGAGGAGGGGGGGGGAATCGACGTGGTGGTGGTGTATATTCTTGGCGCTCTCGCTCGAGGGGGGGCTCAGACAGGGAAGGCGAGAGCAAGACGTGCTCCTTCGGCCCGAGGACCCTTCCGAGACGGGTGGCGCGGTGGCGCCGCAGTGCCCTGTCCTGGAATGGCGCGGTGCTCCCAGCCATCCCTGTCGACAGGCGCGGAGTTCTGCAGACAGCAGCCGATGCACCTTCGCTTTCGGCACGCACCCGACCAGGACAACGTCTCTCCCTGGGCAGCGCCGGCGAACGCAGGCGCGTCTGAGCGGATCAGGCGGGCCGCGCCAGGCACGGGGCGCACTGGAGCCACCAAGCCAACACATGCGGCCAGCGAAGCAAGGAGGGGAGCATGGAGGATCGAGGGCTCCTCTGTGAGCTTTTCGGAGACCTCCTGCGGAGGACATGGACCATGGCCTCTGGCAGGGGAAGGGCGAGAGGAGGGGCGGGGAGGGGGGGGCGGGGAGGGGAGGAAGGGGGACTGGGGCTGCGGGAGGGCTTGCCACAGGAGGGCCCAGGGGCGTTCTCCCGCTGTGGAGGACCAGACCCGGGAAAGCCAGGAGGTCCCTCCAGTTTTTGCCGAGCCGGCTCGGGAGACATGCGCGGCCGCAGGCGCCCAGAGGTAGCGCCCGACTCGATCGGGCACCTTGGGGAGCTGCACGATGCGCCGCGCGGCCACCGACGCAAAAGGATGGATGAGGAAGGAGGTGGAATTCGAGGAGGATGCCGCCACCGTCGCCGTCGTCGCCGCCGACGTCGCCGCCGTCCGACCCGAATGTGGTAAGAATCGCTCCCCAGATCCTTCCAGCTGCCCTTCCTGCCGAGCTTCTCGAGCCGCGTTGCCGCGTCCGGCCTCGGTGACGACGACCTCCAGATGCGTCCGAACATCTCCCCAAAAATCCTTTCAATGCAGGGTCACCCTAGAACCCACAACCTTTTTCTGGGCCCAGCGAGAGCCCCGAGAGGGCCGAACTCAGAGTCTGGCTTCCTCTTTCAACACCGACGCAAATGCGTCCACGTCGTCGACGTCGTCGACGTCGTTGCCACCACCGCAGACGCCGCCCGCAGCCGCCAGCCCTGACCTGCGGCTGCTGCGCTGGCGCCGGCAGTTGCTGGATGGAGAGGTGTCCCTGCGTTGGGGGGGGCAGAAGGGTGGAGCAGGAAGCAGGGAGGAGAAGGAGAAGGAGGAAGAGGAGGAGGAGGAAGGGGAGGAGGAAGGGGAGGAGGAAGAGGAAGAGGAGGAGGAAGAGGAGGAGGAGGAGGAGGAGGAAGAGGAGAAGGAGGAGGAGGAGGAGGAGGAGAAGCAAGAGCCCCCCCCTCCCCCCCCCCTCGACCGCCTCGAGCTATGTGACAGGATTCCGCTCCAGACGTGTCCCGTTGGACCTGTACTTCACCAGGTACAAATGGAGAGAGTTCGCCCAGGATCGGACTGGGAGGTCCGAGGCGTGTTAACTTCTCTCTTCCTTTCTTTGTCGTTTTTTCGTTCATGAGTGAATCCACGGCATCACCCCCTCGGGACTTCGAGCATAACATGCAAGGGAGGAGGAGGAGCAGGAGGGGGAGGAGGAGGAGGAGGAGGAGGAGGAGGAGGAGGAGGAGGAGGAGGATGCGGACCAGTGTGAACCCACAAGTCAACAACGATGTTGGCATAAACCCTCCTTCCAAGCTCCCTCTTCATTGGCCCATGCAAAACTTCATTTCCACTAAGGGAACTGCCTCACTGGAAGGCAACAGTTTGAATACACTGAAACATGCCAAAACATGATTCTCGGGGCTCCACCGCCACGGACCAACCTGACTGTTGCGTCTTGGCGATCTTGAATCGTGTCATAACGCACCATAGCGCAATTCCTGTGAATTCAACACCGCAAATCAACGTAACTGTTGCGCCCACAGAATCCAGAGTCTCTCCTAAGCACCACGTCTGTCCCGCTGGCCATAGGAACCCGTGAAAGTCTTGTAATTGTTTAAAGCGAATGTGCGCGGCGCTAAAGCGAGAGACGCAGTTTGAAAATGAACCGCCGCCAACCCGGGAAACTCTCACAACATCTTATAATGAATGTGCCCGGCGCTGTGGCGAGAACCACATTTTGAAAATGGGCCGCCCTCAATCCGCGAAGTTCTTGCCAGCTAGAAAGCTTCAGAGACACAAGTGGTGAAGAAGTCTCAGGCGAAACGCCCGGCCCGCCCTGAAAACTGGCCTGGGGGTGCAACAGGGAAAAGTTACTTTTAAGGAACATGGGGAAGGAGGAAGAGGAGGAAAAGGAGGAGGAGGAGAAGGAGGACGACGAGGTTCGAAGGTGGAAAAGTCGATGCTATATGAAACCCTTTTTGTGCCTCTGGGCGGATCATCGTGGTCGCCACGGGTGGGTCTGCATCGAAATTCTGGCCCAAAACGTCACCCAGGACGGGTCCAGGGACGTTTGCTTGTCTTGGGGAGGTCCAAACCCCCTCGCGTCCTGACGTGCACATGTAGGGGGATAAATAACTCCATGCAATTTTGCGTCGGAGGCTGGGCAGAATGACTGCGCTGGCGGAGAAGCTAACTACACGGGGGCACCTGTGTAACAAAACTGCGCCACAATGCAAGAAAGAAAAAATGGAGAGGCGATCGGCCGAAGGGGGGGGAAAGCAAGGCGAGGGCCGCTCAGGGGGACGGGTCACGCTCGAAGCGAGTGGCGCGGCCCGCCCCGCCAGCAGGGACAGCGGCGGCTGCTGCGCCGGGGTTCCAGCGGTGGCGGCGGGGCGACAACTGCATACACATGCACTTTTGACGGTCCGCGTGGATTTCTTGGATCTGCGCTGGGTTCCTTCCTGGCGCGCGGAGCGCGCTCTGGAATTTGTTTTCTGGATTTCGTGAACAATCAGGCGCGCTCGACATATTATGGGATCGGGGCATCTGGGTTGGCCACGTGGGCGCCCGAAAGGCTTGGGGCGGCGGTGTTTCGCCCCAGGCATCTTCGAGATCTTCGACCCCAAACAAACACCTTTAAGCACCAATGCGCGTTTGGGATCGACATCGCCCATGTTCCATGCATGCGCAGCAGCACGCCGGATCCTGCCGTTTCCGCCACAGCACGCGAGCAACTCAGTACGCCTGCGAGCGCCACTCTAGTCCTGCATGGTTGCGGACAGCAACAACAGCATCAGCAACAACAGCAGCAGTAACACCAGTATCATTTGGCAGACATCACCACACCTCGCAAGCAACGCAGCCAGGTAACACCGCCGTACCTGTGAGCACCACTGGGGTTGCGAACACCAGCTACGACTCAAGTGTGGAAGCGGCATCACGACGAAGTGATCTGGCAGGCCCAAAGGGGCATGACTCAGCGGCAGCCAGTGGCTGCCGCTGAATCATGCCCCTTTGAGCCAGTCAGCAGCAGCCGCAGCAGAAAGACAACCGCTCTAGAAAACCCAAAGACGTCCAAGAACAAGCAAGTGCCTTCGAACACCTTCCTCACCTCCGACGACAACGCGCACGACAACGAGGGACGACGACGGCAGCGGCGGATGTGGCAGGCGACGACGGCTGCGGGCAGCGGCCTGCTGGCCGGTGACCTGTGGCGGGGCCGCGGGAGGCGGCTGCGGGATCAGCTGCTGCCACGCCTCGCTCGGCAGCGCGCAAGAATGACATTGGGCAACAAATGACGTTTGGTGCGCGGGCTTTACGGGACACTGCAGGGGCCAGATCCAAAGGCGCAGGCCTGTGTTTGGCGCTCCCCTGTGGGCCCACACCAGCAGAAGCTTCCTAGATGGGGCCCGGATAGATGGGATCGGAGGATCTCGCCACATCGCCAATGCATCGCCGATGCATCGGCGATGCATCGGTGACGTCGGCGACGCATCGGCGACACCAGAGCGGAGAAAATCGGGCTGCACATCGAACCGCATCGCCGACGCATCGGCGATGCGGAGCGATCCTCCGACCCCGCCTGCTCCGACCCCATCTGGGAGGCCCGGAAACCAAGGACACCCCGTCGAAAGGCCACTCATACTTTTTTGATTGGCGGCTCCAAGGACAGATCCAGGAAGCGGGATTGACTCGACTGGGGCACAGAGCGAGATAATTGGCTGCAGAGGCGCATAGGCCGCTGAAGCGAGCGCACATGCCAGGGACAAAATGACCCTCATTGGGGGCTGACGCTGGCGGCCCGACAGAGGGGAACGCAACAGGCCACTCACACGCGCAGCCGCCTCGCGGGCCCCAGCAGCCGCGCGGGAGCCCCAGCGGCTCCAAGCGGAGGAGCCTGGACCTCCGACGGACGGCCGCCCCTCGGGATGGGGTCGCCGGCGCGGCGGCGGCCGGCCGCGCGTGTGCGAGGCGCGGCGCGCGGGGCGGCGTGGTGGTGTGCCCTCGTCGGCGGAGGGGCGTCCGCACTTGTCGCCGCGCCACTGGTTCTCGACGCGCCCAGGTAGGCGAAGCCGGCACCGCGGCAAACCCCACGGCGAACCCTTGCGTCCGAGGCGGCATGTGCCCTGGTGCCCGCGGCGCCCTGCCCAGGACGCAGGGCTGCGCCTTGGAACAGATGGCGCGGCGACGCCGGGTGGTTCGAAGCAGTCACCGATGACGGCTGGGGAAGCCGGAGGCAGCTGTGATCGTGAGACGGTACGAGGCGGGGATCTGCCGGTGGTCTTGGACACAGTTTTGCCCCTGGGGGCCCAAGTATATCCAGATCCACCGCCTGCCAGGGTCTCCGAACATCAATCCCCCAAGCGATGATTGTGGATAAATCCCCGCCTCAGAGAAAGGGCGGTGGGACCTTTGGCACGCGGCTTTTCTGGGTAGGTACCCCAAGATAAAATGCCACGAGGGAAACGGAAGCCTGAAAACTATCCTCTGGTGTCTCAAAGCCTGCTGACCGCGGCTCCTGACCCAGGCTACGATTCGAATTTGGCCCACGCCTCCGAGGGACTCCTTGCTTCGGTGCTGGCAGCCTCCCTCCGACTTCGGCCTCTCTGGGGGCGCTCTCGGGCCTGGGGCCATCGATCATGGATCCGGGACGGAATGCGGCCACCCGATCAGGGGCCGAGGCCTGTGGGGCCCGCGGATTGGCAAGATCACATCGCCAGACGTCGGCAAGAGTGCCTAGGAGTCGAATCTATGAGTCGGATCGGCGATCGAGGTGAATCGGATCAGTGGAATTCGGCAGCCAAGTCGGGAGAAGCCGAATCGGTTGAAGGCTTTCAAGGTCTCCGAAACCGAAGGCCGAATCGGAACCCGACGCCAGTCGGATCAGCATCTTGGCAGCTGGGGGAGTGCTGCCGCCAACGGGCACGACGGCCGAGGCGTACTGCTCCCCGGATGCACGGTCTAAGACGCACAATCGTCGTCGTCGTCGTCGTCGACGTCGTCGTCGTCGTCGTCGTCGTCGTCGGCGAAATCGGGCGCGCGATGACCACGAGCGGCGAACATATCCGTACCCGCGCCCTCGCGGTCTGGACTCCGGGGCGCGACTCCGCGGGCACGCGGTCGCAAAGACACCTTCTGCGCGGGGCACCCGCGAAGGCTCTCCCCGTGTCCGCGGGGTCGCGGCCCAGGGGCCCGGCCCACGAGGCCGCGGGCACGGGCATGGTTTTCCGCCCACGACGTGGCCTCATTCGAGGGCGGAGGTCGGAGGGGGGAGGAGCTCAAGGGAGGATCCGCAGAAGGCACCTCTCGACCACTGCAAGAGGCCTCCGAGACGCCCCGAGAGAGCCCCAAGAGCCGTCCCCAGAGGGCCCAGGGAGGGCAACGTCATGGATTCTCCACCGGCATTTCGCATTTCGATGATTGGAGTCCTCGACTTTTCGAGCTCTGGCGGCCCTCCAGGACGGCCACTCTGGGCACCAGGCCAGGTAAGGTGGTGGCGTCGAGATGCCCGCTGCGGGTCTTAGGAGGGTCGAGTCGAGGTTCGAGGAAGAGGCTCGAGGTCTTGACAAATCATAGTCTTGTTCGGCCTCCTCCAGATGCCTCGGGGGCCTCGGGAAACCTCTGAAGAACCCCTGGAAATCTCCGTAAGCTCTGCAGGCTCATGGCTCCCTCTAGCGCCACGAAGGAATACAAAAACGGTTATGTGTTGTTCATGCTTGGACGGCTGGAGGCCCGTAGGTCCGTTCGGGGCCACCCTGCCCATCAGTGCGTGGGATGATCAACTGGCCCCAGTGTAATGTAGGTCGACCAGGCAATGCCAGCGGGGATCAGCACTGAAGGGTGTCCACAGCTTTCTGAGGAGGGGATGGGGGAGGAGGACCCCCACAAAATCCACGCAACCCTCAAAAACAAAAAGCGGCCCGGAATTTCGACTGAACCCATCACGATCCGAATTGGGGGAGAGCTTCCTATTGCGTGGGTGCATTGCGTGGCATTGCTTGGCATATCGCTTGGCGCACTGACTTGACATATTGACTGCATTGCATGGCATTGCTGAACATTGCTTGTCATTGCCCAATATTCCTCAGATTAGGTAACATTGCCTTGCACTGCGTGGCGAGGCAACGAGGAACACATACCAAGGAACCAAGGAGCCAATAAACCACCATACCAAGGAACCAAGGAACCACTCAAGTGACCAAGACCAGGAGCAAAACCAAAGAACCAAACCTCAAGGAACCAAACCTCGAGGAACCAAAACCAAAGAAGCAAGAACGAGGAAATACGGCACCAGGACCAGCGCACCATGAAACCAAGACAAGATAACCATGGAGCCAAGAGCAAGTAACCAAATAACCAAGACCAAACAATACAAGGGGCCATAAACAAGAAACCAAGGACTCAAGATCGAAGGACCAAAACCAACAACCCAAGACCAGTAACTCACATAACCAAGACCAACGAACCACGAAACCAAGACCAAGGAAGCAGAACCAAAGGACAAAGAACCAAGGAACCAAGACCAAGGAACCCAGGGACCAAAACCATGGAACGACGGACCAGGGAAGCAAGGTCACGGAATCAATGAACCAAGTCCAAAAAACCACAAAAACACAAACGAACCACGAAACCAAGACCAACGAACCACGGAACCAACCAAGATCAAAGAACCAAGGACACAATACCAAATTCGCCGGCCCAACGGGCCAGAGGCGTGCTAAAATCTCTGGTCACTACTTAACAATATTTCTAGTTCGCGCGCGCGGGGCGGCCCCTGGGGGGCCCCGGACGAAAAGTATCCCGGCCGATCCCTGGCCGGGTCCCGGGCGATCCCCAGGTGGGATGCTTTTTTTCGCCACCCTCACGGGGAACAAGGATCGTGGCCTCCGAGGGGGGGGCTGCAATCGACTACCCCCCCTCCCGCCCCAAGAGTCCCCCAGGAGGCCCCAGGGGAGCCCAATGCGCCGCCAAGGAGCCCCAAGACGCTCCCGGGAAGCCCCCAAGAAGCCCCCAAGACGGCCCCAAGAGGCCCCAAATAGCGCTACAGGGCCAGCGGAATGAGCGAAGCGATTAAATAACCAGGACCACAGAAGGCCCTCGTGCAACCAATGAATCAAGAACAAGGCAAGGAACCACGGAACCAAGACCGAAGAATCAGGGGAAGGCCTTGTAAGGAAACAAGACTGGGGAATCTGGAGGACCCCCCTGTAAAGAAACAACTCTGAGGAGCCTCGAGGAACCCTGGCGCGACCAGGTCTGGTAACCACAAGTGTCTTCACTAACAGCTAGGAGCCCCTAATGCAGGGTCTAAGCGGGGAATAACCTATGCGATCATCGATCCTCCTTCCTCCTCCTCCTCCTCCTCCTGCTCCCCCTCCTCGATCCTCAGGTGGAGATGGCGTGACGGTTCTCCTTTGGCACTGCCTGAGGGATCTGATCGGGAGGTTCTGCGGGGCACGCGCTACGAAATGATCCTATTGTCGGACGTCTGGCGAGAACATGGGGCTGGGAGGATCCCCTGACCTCGCCTTAGGGAAGGTCCGAAGGTTAAATGGATCCCGATAGCGCGGTGACTTTGCGCTGCTACTGGTCGGCAAAGCTGCAGCGATCCCGAGGGCCCCAGGGCATTGAAGCGCCTGCCAGTTGCCTCACTGCGCTCGCCCAGTCGGCAGTGGTATAGCCCATGGCTGCCCAATGAGTCCTCACCTGTTCATTATCATGCTTTAGTGCGTGCGCCAGCCCGGCCCACTGGAGCGAGCGTGCGGATCGCCTCTGCCGCGCTGCGACGTAAACACGAATCATCAGTATTCGATCCGCCCTCATGACGGTTGTACAGCCAGAGTTTGTGAACGAGCTAGGCCCGACTCCGTCCGATCGCATGCGATTTAGAGGCCAGGGTAAGCACCTCGACAACCGAAACTGTTGATTGAAAATGCCTGAGGAATGCTCGAACAGGGCCAGACGGCGTAGTGAAACAGCAAACACACATTATGGGGGCCGGGGTGGCTTTTCCCCCTTGCCTGGGTGCAACAATAGATGGCGCTTCTGCAAACGAAACGGCGATTCTGTTGGATGATGCCCCGAAGGCCCACGTTTTTGAACCGTCTGATTTGAAGTGCAAGCGCGTGTGGACTGGAACCAACTTGGGGGAAGCCAGTGCACGTACGAGTCAGGCATACGACACATTGTCTCGCAATGATGCTGCCATTCCTGAGGGGCCTCCGAGAAAGGCATACTCGGCAATATTGATTCTTTTTCTTGGAGCCAATTGAGCGGTCATGGACCCTCGAGAACGATCATCTTCCTCCCTCACCTCCTTGCTCCCTCATGTTTGCCCCCCCCCATCTCCTCCCCCCTCCCACGTCCCCAGTCCCCCCCCCTTCTCAAACATCTCCCGGGTTATCCAGAAGCCTCTCGAAGTCTCCGGAGGCCTCCGCAGGCCCAGAAAGGGACAGCAACTTTACAAAAGCTCGGTCCTCGATCATCCCTCCCGTTTTCTCCTGCGTCTCCGCTCCGTTGATCCTTCCTCTGTCGCCCCTTTCTATGGTCATCCTTCTACTCCAACTCCTCTTCCTCTTCCTCCGTCTCCTCCGCTAGGGCGACGAAGACGTCGACGCCGACGACGACTTTGGCGACGCCGACCACGTCAACAACGATTCCGACGGCGACGATGACTGACGCCGCCGACGACCGACGCCGACGATGCTGCCGCCGACATCGACGACGACGGCCTACGGGGGGGCAGGAGGGGTGAGGGCGGGGGGGTAGCGCCTGCTGGTCCGCGAGCATCTGCACGAGGCTGGCGGAGGCGTCTGCCCAGCCCGCGGCTCCAACGCTCTGGGAAAGCGGCCGGAAGGTTTTCGCCGCTCCTGTGAAGGCCACGTCTTGGCCCAAGCCGGGCCAAAAAACAGCTCGGGAGGAGGCTGGAACCTCCAGTGGCCCACGATGTGAAACAGCGATTTCGAGTGTCTGAGCAAGGAACGAAGTGGGATGTGAAGGACGGTGAGCGGAGTTCTTGAACAGTTTTCCTGTGAGGGGGCATTGCCCTGCAGCACTGGACTAGCCTCGCTTCCCTTTTTGCAGCCCTGTGGCAGCTGCGGGTTGGTCTTGCTAACCTCCCCCGCCGCCTGCGAATGCACTGGCCAGACGCCTTAGCTCAGGAGCTGGAGATCATGTCGACCCGTCTTGGTCGCAGATCGGCACGGCATGGCTCCGCCGAGCCCCGCAGCATTCCATCCTCGCTTACCGCACAGAGGCCACAGGTGGTGCTGTACGGAGCGCGGCAGGCGGCGCCTCAGAACAGTTCGCCTGCGCTGCGCCCCACACGGCAGAGCATGCCGTCGACAGCCACTCTACAAGCTGCTGGGGGTCCCCCGGGCTCTCCAGGCAGCAGCAGCACGAATCCTGCCAGTTCGGAGCTCGGCCCGAACAACATCATGGCAAGTGGCCGAAAGGGCCGCATCAAGAGTGGAAGTCTTTCACGGACGTGGGCCGCGACTGTCCTCCCGAAGAGGACGGGGGGGCGGACGAGTGAGCAGGAGTAGGGGAAAAGAGGGAGGGTGGATGGTGAAAGCAGTGCGAGCGGAAGATGAGGACGACAATGAAGAGCAAGCAGGAGCAAGAGGAGAAACATGTGTTGACGAAAGTGAGGTCGGGCCGTAACAGGGCGCAGCAAGCAACTACTGCCCACGTCCTACATTCTCACGGCCGTTCTGGAGGGCGGCGTGCATGTCATGCGCACGCACTTTGTGTGGCTCAACTTTCCCTCACTCGTCTGATGCCTCCACTCCTGCCTGCTTCTCCCGACGCTTCCTTACTCCATACTATCCTCCGCCCTTTGCCCCATGTCTTTGGAAGTCTCCAGACTTCCTCGGAGGGCTCCGCGGGGCCCCCTGGAGGCCCGTCAGTGAATCTCATATCCTAGACTCTCCGATTCTCCAACCCACGTCTGCTCCTTCCCCCCTTCCCGCCGCCGTCTGGATCCCGGATTCCCATCTCGTGCTCATGCTCCTTATCATCTTCGTCTGCTCCGCCCACGCAGCCTGTGCCATGCCCCCCCTTCCCCCCACTTCCATACCTGCACCGCCGCCCCCCCCTCATTTCTGCTCCCTCGTCCTCTTCCTCCTCTGCGCCCCCCGCCGAGAAAGAAAGTTATCCCAGTGCGACCCTACCTGGGAGTTGGAGCCTCTAGGAAAGCAACATTAGTAGGAGCGGTAAACGCCGTCCTCCTCCTTCTCCTCATCGTCGTTGTTGTAGCAGTAGCGGTAGTAGTAGTAGTCGTCGTCGTCGTCGGCGTCGTCGTCGTCGGCGTAGTAGTAGTAGTAGTAGTAGTAGTAGTAGTAGTAGTAGTAGTAGTAGTAGTAGTAGTAGTAGTAGTAGTAGTAGTAGAAGTAGAAGTAGGAGTAGTAGTAGTAGTAGTAGTAGTAGTAGTAGTCGTAGTCGTAGTCGTAGTCGTAGTCGTAGTCGTAGTCGTAGTAGTAGTAGTAGTAGTAGTAGTAGTCGTAGTCGTAGTAGTAGTAGTAGTAGTAGTAGTAGTAGTAGTAGTAGTAGTAGCAGTAGTAGTAGTAGTAGTAGTAGTAGTAGTAGTAGTAGTAGTAGTAGTAGTAGTAGTCGTAGTCGTAGTAGTAGTAGTAGTCGTAGTAGTAGTAGTAGTAGTAGTCGTAGTAGTAGTAGTAGTAGTAGTAGTAGTAGTAGTAGTAGTAGTAGTAGTAGTAGTACTAGTAGTAGTAGTAGTAGTAGTAGTAGTAGTAGTAGTACCGTAGTAGTAGTAGTAGTAGTAGTAGTAGTAGTAGTAGTCGTAGTAGTAGTAGTAGTAGTAGTAGTAGTAGTAGTAGTAGTAGTAGTAGTAGTAGTAGTAGTAGTAGTAGTAGTAGTAGTAGTAGTAGTAGTAGTAGTAGTAGTAGTAGTAGTAGTAGTAGTAGTAGTAGCCGTAGTAGCCGTAGCCGTAGTAGTAGTAGTAGTAGTAGTAGTAGTAGTAGTAGTAGCAGTAGTAGTAGTAGTAGTAGTAGTAGTAGTCGTAGTAGTAGTAGTAGTAGTAGTAGTAGTAGTAGTAGTAGTAATAGTAATAGTAGTGGTAGTAGTAGTAGTAGTAGTAGTAGTAGTAGTAGTAGTAGTAGCTCTGGATCCGCCGACGCCACGCCGTAAGTGAAGCAGCAGCAGAAGCAAGCAGCAACCTACATACATATAGATATATAGAGAGAGAGCAGCAGCAGCAATAGTGGATGCTGTGCTGCGCTATGCTATGCTGCGCTATGCTATGTTATGCTGGGCTATGCTATGATATGCTTAGCTAAGCTAAGCTACAGCTACAGCTAAGCGAAGCTAAGCGAAGCTAAGATGAAGCAAACTAAGCTAAGCTAAGCTAAGATGAGATAAGCCACGCTAAGCTAAGGGGACGTAACTGGGGGAACCGCGGGGCGGATACTGGGGGAACCGTTCGGGGCGCTTTCCACTGCCCGGCCCCTTTAAGCCCAGAGAGTAAGAACCCTTCTAGGCAGAGCCTAGGTAGGGAATAAAGAAGAGGAGGAGGGCGATGCGGAGAAGGATGAGGATCAACGATGATGTAGAGGATGAGGAGGGGTGGAGGAGAAACCCCGGACCCCCCAAGAAATACCCAGCACCTTCTAACCCACCTCCAACAAGCGACACTCCAAGCACAATGCCTCATCCCCACCCCTCCTCCCTCCTCGTTCCCTCTTCATCATGAACCATATCCTTCTTCCCTCCCTCGTTCCTTCCCCACTCTCCCCCAAGTCCCAAGAGTCCGAAGAGGTCTCCTGAAGCTTAGACAGGGCCACACATGTCCCCAAAGTTCGATGATCGATTCTGCTTCTCCCAGGCCTCCAACGTCACACTTTGCCAAATCCTCCGCCCCCGCATCTCTCAACCCCGTCCCTGGGAAACTGTGTTTCATCCCGGGTCGTTTTTGTTGATGGCCTGGGGCCAAGAGGCTACACCGGAGGCCGAACATTATGTGAGACAGGTGAATGTGCGTATATATATATATACACATCTATATATACATACATACATACATACATACATACATACATACATACATACATACATACATACATACATACATACATACATACATACATACATATATACAGTTATCTATATATATGTATGTATGTGTGCATTGTTTTCCTCAGACGTGAGGTATGGGTCCTCCTGACTTCTCCACCCTCCCTCCCTCCCCCTCCCTCCCGAGGGGGGGGACGGCCGACACAGCCCCCTCGAGGGATGTAGAAGAACAACAGGGAGGGAAGGGGATGAAGAACGAGAGGGAACGGCGAGGGGGGATGGAGGAAGACGGAGTGAGGAGGGAGACCCAGACCTCCAACACATTGAAAACATGATGCGCGAACTTGTCGCCGTTTTCAGCGTCTTGGGGCCCTTTCCGAGCCCCGGGGCCGTTGGAAAACGACTCAGGGTGAAGAGTCTGCCCTGGGGCTAGGCAACAAAAACTAGACATCGGGATCTCTGGGGAAGGGAAGACGAGGGAGGAGATGGAAGGAGGGGGAAGGAGGAGGACTTGTTCGCAGACGATTGGAGCGCCCATGCATATTGAATCATGGATTGGTTTCAGGGCCGCCTTCCACGCTCCTCCCTCCGCGGTGGTTTCTCATTCTTAATCTGCTTCCGTGCCGTGTAACAAACTGCTGCGCCATCATAAAGCCCTGTGTCTGCCCGACCGGTCTGCGCGATCGCCGCAAGTTCCGCGGCGAAGCCACGCATTTGGGGGGGGGGAAGAAGGAGCGACCGGGGAGGCTGAAGAGTGAGTGGGGGAAGCGATGAGGGAAAAGAAGGGAGGCATTTATTTGGTGTTCGCCGCGGGCTTTGCAATGAGCGCGCTCCTGACGACTGACTCTGGATGGCTCCCAGGAGCCGAGGTGTCATAACAAAATACCTGACTGGGTAGTCGAAGCCAATCTGGCGCCAATCTGGCAGGCCCAATCTGGCAAACGGGGGCAATCTGGCGAGGGAGCCAACGCGAATCCAGTCTGGCGAATAACCCAAATCATCCAGTTTGGCCGGGCCAGATTGGCCCTTGGGGCCCAATCCAATCTGACAGTCTGGCCTTCGACTACCCAGCCTGAGAATAGGAACCATCATGTGGGCGCGCCCAACATAAAAAAAACGCAAGGAATGCGAGTGGGGGCGACCCGCGACGAGGGGGCCTGGCGTAAGAGCTAACGTGCGACCCAGCTGCACTCTAAACTGGAGGGCGAGAGAGGGCGCAGGTGGGGGGCCAAACGCCCAAGGCGGCCTCACACCCAAGGGGGGCCTCAACTCGCTGGGAAAACAAGGATCCGCCCGCAGGGAGGAAGGGAGGGAGAGCGAGGCAAGAGAGGCGAGAAGACAGGAAGGGAGAAGCGCAGGGGGAAAGAGAGGGATAGACAGAGAGAGAGAGAGAGAGAGAAAAAAAAAGAGAGAGAGAGAGAGAGAGCGAGAGAGAGAGAGAGAGAGACGGGAACGAAATGAGGAGCGGAGCCGTATCGCCACAGGGTGTTGGCCCCCGCTCGGGCGGGACGTCCTCGAAAAGGACCGCCACCACCACGTGACAACATTCAGTCAAGAGAGCGGCGCACATGAGACGGACTCGTCTGCTCGGCGGATTTCTTTTATACCTTGAAGTAAAGCGTGCTCCTGGCCCTGGCGTTTGGTAAGCATGGTGTCCATCTTCCGTAGCACAGCGGGGTCGTGCTGCTGCGCAGTGCCAATGATCCGCTGCTTGCAATCGGCAACAATATCCCGGCTGGCACTGCTAGCGTCCGGCTCGACAGCTCTCATCTCGTCCTGGCGGAGC